CTTCCAGCCTAGGCCATTCTATGATTCCAAGTAGATTTATTTGGCGGAAACCAGTCGGATTATATTTGTATTTTTCACCCAAGTACCAGCCTCAAAATAGCTCATGTATTTTAATTTTCAGATTAGCAAGGAAACAGGAGGTAGATTGATTCAGTAAGCTGTGAAAATTAAGCTGTAAGTTATATGAATACATTACTATACTTCACCTCATGCCAGATAAGGTTCCCATCATACCTGAGTCCTGTTCTTTAAAAGATAAAGAGCCACATAAATACAAAATATTGGAAAACTGATTTTTTTTTTCGTGATATAAGCACCTACCAATACAACAAAACACCATGTCTCCTTGAGAACCAAAAATAAAAAGAAAATGTGACTACATATATACACATAATATGTCAGTCACTTGATTAATGTCCATGTTCTCATTGTTCTGGAGTCTTGAAATTTAGGATATCATACCGTTATAGTCTGCTGAGTAGAGGAACAATCTCAGATGAGAAAAACTGACTTTTGTGGCACAAGTACAATCACAGGCTGAAATGCAACAAAAGAAGGCATTCAAATTTCTATAAATGGTATGGAGGAGGAATGAGGACTAATAAGGAATACTTCTTTACAGTAAGTGGCCTGAGAAGGCTTTCATTAGTTAACAAGAGATTAGTTATCTGATGCTGCTCCTGTTTGTGAAAATTTAGCTGGTGCACCTTCCAGAAACAGGGCTATCAGTACTTGATAGAACACTTCTGTAACCTTTTTAATGCAATCTGCATGATGCCATCTAGAACACAGGGCAGACAGAATCACCAACCCCATTAAAATTGTTTTCTGATAAAGGATATTTTTCAAACAAGCATGTGTAAGAGACACATTTACAAAGCAAAAAAATTGGAAATGCTCAGCTGCAGGTGCGAACACTGGACTCTGGTTTCAGTGTGCAATGGAGTTAGGGCACCTCACCATTCCACGGCATTTCATTGCAGATGGTCACTTTTTCACAGCAGCTTTATTCATAATTTTTCCAGTGCTTGCCGTCATTCATCACGATAAGCAACAAATGCTTTATGTGAGGAAGCTTGAGACAATCCAAATCATTGGTGCAAACCCAACATAAGCTTTAGTTAAATGTGTCCATGTTCAGATTTAAATGGTTGCAGGAGAATACAAGCTAATGGCTTAAGCTTTCCTACACTGGCTTTTGGTGTAAGGCAGAGTTTCAAGCTCTGTGTGAAATGAAAGGTATGAGACACATCCAGCTCTACCTTTTCCTACTAGCAAGGAGTTAAAATTGTGGGAACATAGGGAAACAAAGAGAACTATTCTTCAGCTGATGCCATAAGAGCCCATGGGAGCAAGAACTCTCATATATAGTAACTATTGCTATAAACCCTTACCATCTACACTGCATTATGATTTTACTGATTTACAAAGCTCTCTAATGCCTGTGGATTTGAACCACCATGATGTCTTGTGTGGCCTAGGAAACAACAAGCTGTTCCAAGTAGAGAAGATCATCATCTCTGCTCAATTAATCACTGTAGGAGTCATCCAGAGACAGATAAAGAGATGTATCTAAGTGACTGCACATATTAGGTAGTACACTGCAGTCCTTTGAAGATTTTTACAGGTTCCCTACAGAGTGCTAAGGTATTCAGTTCTCCACTCTTCTTTTAATCATGCAATTTCTCACGGAATCCCATAAGCATTTTCCTTGTCAGAAGTGTAAGATGAGGTTATGGCACGTAACTAGAATGAAGTGGATAAAATATTATCAATTTGAAGTTTACCTGGTCTGAGCTGACTACGATAGGCTCTCTTAGAACAATCCAGGTGATGCACTCTTCGCAAGGGGGAGTAGTGAAAGACCCATGGTACGTCCAGTAGTCACGAGATTTAGGGAACAGAATTGAAGGATCAAAGTTTGGAAAAGGAGCTTCTTTCCCCTTAAAAAACATAACAAAAACCACAACAAAACTAAAACAGAAAATTCTTCAACAGCTCTGGTCAGATTAGGCAAAGACGCAGCTCTGGTACTTTAAGAAACTCCACGATGCTACTTCTTGTACCTGAGCTAACTCATGTGAAGCAGTGTCCAGTATCCATGTGCTTCACTGGTTTCTGTGCAGAAATACTCTTCCTCTTGGCCTCCTTTCTTATGGAAATTCTGTCTATCTCATGAATATTGGATTAGGTCACCATATAACAAAGTGAGACAGGTACTCTAGGTTTATAATAGTTATATTTATAGATTTACAATAGTGATACTCTAGATTTATAATAGTGATAATAACAAACACAACAGCCTATGAAATGTGAGATTCTTATAACACAATGTTACCTGAGGCACAGATGTCCAGTCAGTGCCATTTCCAGAGGTCCATCAGGCAGCCTATTGCAAGGCCAAATGGACCAATTTTCAAAGGTACCTTCTTTCTTTAGCCATTGACCACTGAGGGAATAAGACTCTATGCCTAGCTTTTAGGTGAGTAAAGTTTGGGAAAAGGACTCTAATTTTCACAAAACTGTAAGGCCTACTAAAGCCAAAGAAGGAGTTTGGTAAAGCTACACATGGTTATATTCACTGGTATATTCTGGTGATGCTGCAGAGCAGAATTTGAGAACTACAAAGTCATGCCTCTTCATTTTTTTTTTTTTGGCCTGAGAATTTTACAGCAATCTTCTTATAACAAAAAGCCCAACGTGATTACCTTGGTTTTGATAGCATTTATTTCTTCGAGAATTCTCTTCATCTCTAGTTTGGGAGTTTTCCCTACCTGTAAAGAAGAAGACAGCATGAGCTAACCAAAGATCAATTTTCTTTCTCCTATTTTTTCATATATGTTTCTAAACATATATCAACTATAAAACTACGATGCATTAATCCAACTTACAAACCCTACTCAGCTTAGCAAGGCATGTCTTCTGTCTGTATCCTCTGTCTGTACCCCGAGAGATATTCTGATACAAGTGAGGAAATAATATCAGTACAGAATCTCAGCATCATGGGTAATTTCACAAAAAAACCATCCTTGTTGACATGTAATTTTAGCCTAACAAAGATAAGTAACTCTTCAGACTCAAGTACGGAATTTGGAAAAAGTTTCATTCTAGTTTAAAAAGCAGATTTCATGGTCAGATCTACTGTTTGCAATTGCTGATCTTGACACAGACATCCATCTTTCTATCTGCAGTGAATATTAATTAAAGAGAGGGTAAAGGCCACTATTTCAGGCTATGACTGCATGTCCCCAGAAGGATTTTAAGGAAAAATGAGTTAGCTGTATATTCAATGAGTTATTTTTTCCTGACAGAAAGCTCATGAAAAGCCTAGGAGCGGTATTTGTCCTTGAAATCAGCCCATGATTAGCAGAGAAGACAGCTGACTGCTGTTGGTCAGAAGGCTACTACTGACATCGTGTCCCCAAAACAGGGACAAATATATCTGAATTTACAGTTTCCACCAGCCACACAGTGACACAATAGCTGCTCAGACAAGTGTGCATAGCATTGGATGTCATTTGAAACAACATGAGTCATGCTCTAAAACTTGAAAAGAGTGCAAGCCCTTTAACGTGGCATGATCCCTAGAAAATACATTCAGAAGGTTTTGCTTTTTTAACTCTTTAAGAACAGAAAACTCTATAGTAGCAGTATAAAGAACTTACTTGCAAAAATATGGCCAAAACAGCTATTCCATCAGTTCTTCTCACAGCATCGAGGTAATTGCTGTATTTGGGATTCCAGTGTAACAAATGTAGCTGGAAACAAGGAAAAGCATGTAAAAAGAATCCATTATTGATTAGCAAGCCATCAACAGCTAAATTTAGAGTTCTTCATATACATGAGAGAGTTTGGGGCAACAAAGAATGAGGATTAGTTTCTCCAGAAAAAAAAAAGTAAAAAGGCGACAGCAATTCATGAGTTGTATCTGCCATATATTACTATCTAGACTACTATTTGCTTTAAAATAAACTACACACATCTTAATACAGAAAGCACAAAAATAAAGAACAGAAATCTCTTCTTAAAGCCAAAGAACAGAGAAAACATCTTAAGTAAGCAGGTAGAACATGTCATTCAGAAGTCATCTACTGATGCGCGATTCATTTCCATTTGGCTTTCAAATTATAGCAGATCTAGCCAAGAATCCACAGGAATGTAAGCTCTGCATATTATTAGTCTACAGTTCTCATCTTCTCTTACAGTCCTAAAGTGGTACAAAATCAAGGTAACGCATTCTTCATCCTTTCTGTCGCTACAGTTTTATACTTCTACTGTAATACTATAAGAATACTGTTTTAGTAAGTTTGCATTGCTTCTCAGTAATTCAGTCTTGCTGTCCTATGTTTCAAGCCATGCTGGTCTGAGAACATGAAAACTTTTGTTTGACATAGTATTTTTCTTTTTTTTATGCTGTGAGAATTACTTCAGCCTGATTTACATTTACAAAAATCAATGGCAATAAGAATAAAATGAGGGTGGTGAGACAGTGGAACAGTTTGTCCAGAGAAGTTCTGGATGCCTTCTCCCTGGAAGTGTTCAAGGTCAGGGTGGATGGAGCATGGAGCTCCCAGTCTTGTGGAAGGTGTCTCTGCCCATGGCAGGGGGTTGGAATTTTATGATCTTTAAGGTCCCTTCCAACCCATACCATGATTCTATGATAAAATGTCACTGACAAATAAATAGAAGGAACTCTCAAAAAGCAGAAAAATTTTCTCCTACCTGGAAGTGCCAAATTTTACTTTACAACCTATTTTAAAGTAAGAAGTGGTGAGTTTTACCTCTCCTGCATATCTCACTCCATTCACCACATGTTCAGAGCCATGGTCATCAGACGAACCCCAGTGGAAGTGAAGCTGACGCAGCCTGTAGACTCCTGGAAGTGGCCCACCTCTCAGCACTGCAAATGATAATCTGCAACAGCATTAGACTCAAGCACCTTCCAATTTTTTTAATAGAAATAGATATATTTAAAATATTTATGTACATAACTACATATTGAACGTACACATGTCTTCTATTCTGAAACCACTGAGTACCTCTAGGAAATGTGCACCGATTTTAGTTGCACTTCAGGCAACTCTCTTCATCAACCATCTGCACTTACAGGCAGATGAAAATTAGTTGTGTCTAGGCTTCCATTACAGTCAATAGAAATCATTGGTTTAATTGAGCTGCACAAATGTGCATCTGGTACCTTCTGGGATATCCCAAAGACATCTGGACAGGACTGGAAGAGGTGATACAAGTTCCATAGATGAACTGGGGGTTTTTTTTAAGCAGTGTCTGGAGGCAAGTTGAAATATATTAAGTTATTAAAAATAGCATGAAATGCCTATGTTTGAGTAACTGAAATAAGCTCCTGATCAGAACAGTCAAGCCTCTAGAGAAATTTTGCTTGCCTTAAGGCAGACACTCAACAGACTGTGACCTGAATTGGTCTCTGGACTCCACTGATTAAGTGTGACTCCACCTGTGTTGATGAGAATAGGAATTCAGAGACATAACCCACCTACTTTTAAAAGCCCATGTAAGATACTTAAATCAAGATGACTTAATCTCCCTCTGAATTCCATCTAATATTTACCTATTTCAAAGGACACAAAAATAGTCGTTATTAAGATCAACTACTGAAGTGCTACATGATCAACAAATTCCCACAAAACACTACAAATTGTGTCTCTTACTGCAGGCTATGACTTATTTGCTTAAAAAGCTATGAAATTGTGCATCTGCTACAATCACTGGACCCTCCGGCTGTGGAATAGGGGAAAGAAAATAGCAAATAAGCCAGAAAAGCAATCACTGAGAATACAAGCTATTTTCCTAAAGAAAAGTTGAGCTGTTATGAATGACACCTGCATTCTGAATAATTTTTTTAACATTTTTACATTATACACCAAATGAAGGTGGTGTATTTGAAAGGATCTCACAATAAAAAGGGAAAAACTTACATTCACCAAATACTAATATTCAACTCTCATTGACTTCATTTGGAAATAGATGTCATAGCATTCCTATAAATCACTCAGCATTTCTCAAGAATAGGTCTTTATATGCTAAAGAAAAATATCCTTAAACCTGAAAAGGAATTAAATCCATGATCACCTCTAGAAATAAAGTGCTAAGAGTATTCCTTACTGAAAATTAATAGCAAGCTGTTATTCTCAAAAAATTCCTTTTACATGTTCCCACTGACATTCCATACTGTGGCTGACGCAGACATGGCAACAAGTAGCTGACAAGGCCATCAAAGTAGATCTGTAAGACCAAACAATCCAGTTTAAGGTAAAAGCATGTCATTATTTCCACTGATGGCCCATCAGCAGACATTCTTGACTGGGCGTTAGGTGAAGTTCTGCATCACCTTGTGCCAACACATTTCTGTTCCACTCATATAAATAGATAGGAGCTTTTACTTAGCACACTTTAAGCAGACAGAATGAGGTAAAGACTAAGATGCCTATAAACCAACATCTCCTGAATGACAAAAATGTGTTTTCTTTCTTTTAATTGCAAGTGTGTATAACAAAACATACAAATACACAAAATGACAATGTAAGTAAATGAAGTTTCCCTATGTCAGTAAATGAAAATTTTCGTATGCTTTAAAAAAGGTAAACAAAACAGTTACAGAAATTAAGTTCTACAATATATAAAACATAGAAAGCCCCAACCTATGTCTAGTTCAAAGTTAGTGAAAGAAACCTTTTTTTTGTTTTGTTTTAAGCATGTGGCTTGAAACTTAAATTATAAAGTTATCTTAATCCTCTGGGGTTTTTATTTTCAGAAAATACTAACACAAATACATACATGTCCATATAACAGTAAAAAAAAAATATGGGGCAAAAGTTTGTAAAGGAAACTGCCATATCTTTAAACTGTTTTTCAGTGGTGTTTAAAATAATAGCTTTATTTTTTATATTTCTACATATTTGTATTTAACAGCGAATTATTCTCACAGTTATTGCACAGGAAATATTCACCTTAAAAATCTGAGACTCCCAGTTTTAAGGCTGCAATAGCTGTTTTCCTACCACAAAACACAGAAGGATGCTTTTCTAGAAGGCCCCATGACTCACTCTGAGCTTCTACCTGTGACACTGCTTAAACAAAAAGCAAGAGCTTTAAAAAAAAGAAGCATGCAGGCTCACTCCCTGATATATTGGCAGCCAGATTTTCTCTTAGTCCTCCAAAATACTGCACAATCCTTCTCACATGGATAGCTGAAGGGCTGGACTTACTTCTGAATATCGAAAACATGGCATTTCTGTTCTTGCTTCTGCTCTATGAGAAGTAACAGGATGGTCACAGCAGACTTACCAAAATGTAACTCCCTTAAACTTGCTGTCATTAAAGTAACAAGGCCTAGCTGCAAGAATAAGCAAACCAGCCCCGGAAGACAAGGAAGAAAAGTGTTCGTTCATTTTTAGTGCCTCATCACTGCAAACTCTCCTCCCGTTGCTCAGTGACCGACTCTTTTCATATGGGTTTGCACATCACCCTCCACTAGTGCCTGGTACCAGACATAAACATGTCATGTCAGTCTGAAGTGCTTGCTCAAATTCCACATCCCCCTACACCCACACTGAAGAACAGTCCGTCACTGAGCAATCCTACGTGGGCACGCACATGGACACTAGTTCCAGTAAAAAAGCTCACCTTTTATTTCACCCATCATAAACTGAGCAGCATGAGACAGAACTGGCAGCTAATAGAAGAATGGAGTTTTTTTTCCCCAACTCTCAGTGTAATCACTGAGGCAGATTTCCACCACGGAGAGGGCAAGTGTTGCACATAAGCATGTAATTAAGGCAAGAAAAAATTCTGTATCTCACTCTATGTGTTGACAGGCAAAATGAAGGGGTGACTTCCCTCAGCTTAAATAAAGTTAATGGATTTTGTCTTCACTGTTCTAGAGCAAATCAGCCAACAAACAAATACTTATTCACCAACAGCTGATAATCAAAAGCTCATTTGCAAAGATTAAAGAGATTTTACACAATGTGGTGCTCTAGAAAGTGCTGTCCACAAGCACTAGTCATACTAAAAGAGACCAACAAGCAACAAGCTCTCTCTACTCACAGTAATTGTCTCTAATATTTTCTTTCCATCATCCACTTGCAAAGCCTGAAAGAGTCTGCAAACAGCATGAACGTAACCTTGTAAGAAAGTGTGCCTGCACTGAGGTACTCCAAGCTCTTAGATGTAATCCACCAGAAAGTCAGAATGAGGAGAAGCAGGAATTTGTTTGGATGATGAACTTCCACAGAAAGTGCCAAGGATTTAATAAAAACAACAGGCAAAGTCAGAAGGTGAAAGAAGACATCCATCTGACAAACCCTTTGTGTATCTCTCCCCAGCTGCTGTGTCTGGGTTCTAGTACAAGACTCAGGGGTATCTCTGCTGTTTATGAAATTCTTGAACACTTTTATCTAAGCATCTAACCAAGGTATTACAAAGACAGACAAAGAGTCATTTAATTGCAGGGAAGCTGCACGCTACATATCTCACAGCATCATGACAATGGTCCCACTAGTCAGGTGTTCTCAGAACACTTCTCTGGCATGCGGATCTTTGCAATTTTAAAAGTAAAGGGACTCTGCTAGTAGAAATAAGTTTGCAAAACTGATTCAAAACAAAACCAGAGTCACCGCTGGATCTAAAAGAGCCTCTGAGCTATCATTCAGGCCAAAAAATCTAGCAGCAGCAGGCTGCCAAAGGAGCCAACTTCTGGTACGGGTTTCACTGGGCACTGCCACTAGGTTTTGGTTTCAGCTTATAGATCTCTCTTGGATTTTGCAACTCCAGCCTACACCTGCAAGGATTTTACAGTGCTTATGGTCCCTCTTCTACATACATAGGTATGGTAAATCAGGCAACTGAGTCCACAGCAATGCATTAACTTATACGGACAGGCAGAGGCATGACACAGCTCCTAAAGCAAGTATCTGTCATCAAAGCCCTCAATTGTATAGCAGAATCTTACAGTTACCCAGACTTTATAAACAGCTGGGGATGAATTTTCCAATTCCTTCTACTAGACTAATGAAAGGAAAGCTTGGAGATATCTGAAGTAATTAACTTTATCACTCACCTTTGCAATGCATTCAGCTACCTATTTAACGTACCACTAAGTAAAATTTAGATACAACTACAGGTATGGGTATGACCACTCTAACTCAAAAAATCAGGAAAATAAAGGAAGTCTTTAGTTTCCTGCTTAACTCGGAAGTAATTCAAATAGATTGACAGAGAGAGAGAGAGGGAGAGAGAGAGAGAGATAGAAAGAATGTTTCAGAGGAATAAAAGCTTCATTACTATGTGATTACTATTACATAATTGTGTGTTAGGCAGCTGGTAGTTCCTTTATACAAAAAAAAAGTCACTGTACTTATCCTAAAAAAATTAAAACATACTCAAGTCAGTAGGAGCACGCACAGTGGCATCTGTCCCGCAATTAGCATTACATTAGAGAAGGAACACCACCCACAGACTATGCAGGCAATGGTATAACAAAGGAGACATAACAATAAACACTGAATGTTTCTTGCCTTCAAAGAGTTGAGAAATACACCTACTGTTTTTCCAGTGAGTCACTTTTTATTTCTGAGATCAGAACACAACAGTTACTGAGCAGTTCATCTGAAAAAAAACTCAGAACATTCCAAAACTTTCTGCTCTTTGTGGCCACAGTGTTGCATCCATGTTGTAGATTGTTGTGCCTGCATACTCCTTCCCGTGCAAAATCTTAGTAATTATAACAATAATTACTTTGGCATTTATGTAGAAGGTACAAACATTGATATATCTGATGCTGTTCCAAGAAACAGAAGAGGTGGTAAAAAATAGTAAGTAACAGTCATGAAGGTCTTCTCATATGCCACAGCCACATCTCTTTACTGATGTATTGTGTTATCTGACGTTGATAATATTTTTATTCAAATCATACTACAGATTCCCACTTTGCTATAAAAGTAATCAAATTCTTGACTGCAAAGTCACTTGTGATTTTTGGTAATGTAACTAATCCAGCTTACATACATTTTGATCCTCAGTTTTCATGAAACTCAAGTAATTAATTAAAAATCCATTCAATTAAATCCATGTCCATAGGTATGTAAGATCAATCAACCTATTAGTAAAATTCCTCCTGGTAATTATAGCTGCCAATCCTAGATATATTGTAATAGAAACTGGAGCTTCTATGCAGTTAAGAAATACGCCTGTACACTGCAGAAAACAGACTTTTCAATATTTCACTAAAATTGAAATTTCGTTTTCCTTTTCTTACTATCCCATGTATTATAAATAATAACACAATTCTGTTGACCTTGACACAAGGATAGTGAGGTATACAATCGATTTTTATTGCAGCACTAATGTAATTTCATACTGCTTTCAGTAATGTTTTTTCCTTTGAAATATAGCCAACAGTACTAACGTGAAATGTCAGTGGTTCTGCCAACATAAACTAAATATTTCTAGCACCTGTTAAACACAACAGACATATCTCTTCAAAATATATAACCCACTAGGTCCTAAAAACCATGCACTATATATGCAGCACATTGTACACTGTCATAACTACAAGTGTATGAAAGATTTTGGACATTAAAGTAGAAACAATGGAATTTCTCAGTCCTATAATCCTCATTAAGACAAAAATCTCATGAATGCCAAACTGATTAAATACCGTGACTTCGTGGCAACATCTGGTTCTTGACTTCATTTATCAGAAACTACATGGATGAGTTTTCAACTATTGTAACTTCAGCCATGTACACAGTTAAAAGATGTTCCGCTGGCCATCTCAGCTTGAACGGAATTCAGCCCTCATAGATGAAGCCTGGACTCCATGCTCCTTGAAAGCAACACAACTGCAATGGCTTTGGCAAGACAGCAAATTTACCTTACACCTTAATTCATCCTGCACCAAGCTTCTTTGCAGCTTTCTCCATTCCCTAGGATTTTACCTATGGGCCTTTCCCACAAGTTATGAAGGGCACTGGAATCACACAGAAACATGTGTGTCACATGCAAGCGGTACACTGAGACCATCTGACAGCCATGAGCATTCAGAGCACACTGTCTTCCAGGTGACTTGAGAAATAATCACTGATCTATAATGACACCTTGAGATGAAATCAGAACTAACCTGATCTATCGAAGGAATCATCAAATACAACTCTGCAGGTTTTCCCATTATTGAGGATGGTCTTAGCTGCACCAGGATCATAACTGGCAAACCACGGTAGCAGGGAGCGATCATAATGCACATCTTTGTTATTGATTTCAATAGGTGACTGACGACGTCCTTTGGCAATTGGGTAATTTTTGTGCCATTGATCTGGTCCTAGAAAAAAAATAAAGAGAATATCATGAAAATCTCTTCCAGCTGGGTATGAATTATACTTGTGTTACAATAAATGCAAGCTTGGCTTTGCTTAGCTACAGAACATCAATTACATGTATTAATAAGAAAGTTACTAATTACCTGGTTGTTGGTCACACCCTGTCAAGAGTTGCATCATATAAAAAGGTTTTGAACTTACTCTAGTTAATAATAACTTATATTAACTAGCTTACTCTAGTTGGAATGCTGGATTCTGCCAGTCATTCTGGTTAGCTCAGTCAGTTGAGCATGGCGCTGACAACGCTAAGCTCGTGGGTTCAATTCCCGTTCAGTCCCCATGTGTTGCCTGATCCAGTCGAGAGGTGGCGTGAATTAAAATGATCTCTAAGGTCGCTTCCAGCTTAGGCCATTCTATGATTCTATGAACCTAAACTCCTGACAGCAACCTAAAGACTTTATTTATTAGGAGACTGACAATATGCCAAGGAAGGAAAATACAAGTGGATGCTCCAAGCCCAGCAGTGGCTGGCAGTATGATGGGATATACCCTAACGATTCTAGCTTGGCCACCCACACCTGAAGAAGACAGAGATCATTCACGTGGACCAGGGCCATGCTGTTCTTCCTAGTGCAGAGGAGAGCGCAGGGACTCCAGGCCAGTCAGGTCCCCAACCTCTGCACTGCAGACGAGTTCTCCTCCTCCTGCACCAAGGCTAACCTAAAGCCACGCCGAATTTTAAACTTAGTTTTACCGCAGGAGAACTGACTTCATTTAACGTAGGATGCCTCGCGCTATGGCCTCTCCTTCCACCACCTTCGCCTTTTCCACACCTGTCAGTGACGGATGCCCGGGCTGTGTGGACTCAGGCCCGACCGGAGCCGGCGTTCCCC